ATGCTAGTGGATGAATTAGTGGGTGTAGGGTGGCTTGATTGAGGATTTGAGGAGATTGAGGCTGCGTGATTGAAGACTTTGGAGAATTAAAAATATTCTCCTACTCCGTAACTGATAAACTGGCTAAAACGGTACGCGCTTTTTCGCCCAAACTGTTCCGTTTTGAAAATGGATCGCGTTTTTGGAATCAGACTGTCAAAACTAAAACTTTGATATAATTAAAATATTTTTCTAAAAACTTTTATTTTTCAGTGTTCGGGTCTGTCTTAGTTATTAATTAATATTTAAATTAATTAATTTTTTTAGGCCTAATTTCGGGGCGTTACAAATAATGTTACTCAAATGAGGATTAATTGAGGGTATTTTGGTATTTTTTATCCACTAAATTTAAATTTAGTTCTTAAAATGATCATTTATAAAGAAGTGCTTTCCCAAAATGGTTTTTCTAATTAAAGATGTGTATTTGATTTGAAATTTAAAAGATTTTTTTATAAATTTTAAATAATTCATGAATTATTCATAATCAAGGTATTTTTTTCAATTTTATATTTAGTTGTACAGAAATAACTGTTTTGAGAATATACATTAAATTTAGATGATCAAAATACTAAAATATCTCCCAATTAATCATCATTTGAGTAACATTATTTACGAAAGACTATCTTGAGAATAAATCTCAATTATAGAAAACCATGTAGGTAATTAAAACTTATTGAAGACTGAATTGGGAAAACATCTTATTACAAAGGACCATTTTGATAATTTACTCAAAAATTAAGGTGTTTAACAGTCTTTCAATTAAATAATTATCCAAAAATTCATTATTGTCCGTGTTTGAGATTGCAAGTTATAAATTTGAATATAAAATGTTAATGTATATTGATCATGTAGCAATACATTTTTTGTCGTTGTTGAAATGAACTAGAAAAAGTTTGTGGAAAATGGAAAGAGTTAAAAAAAGGAAAAAAGATTAAAGTGGAATAAAGCATTGAAAATATACTAAAATAGGAGTTCCATGTTTTTAATTTCTGAAATAAGAATTAAAATTTACAATGTCAATCATGATCATATACATTACCAAGAAAATTATGAAATGTCCATATATTGTGCCGCATTACCACAATGCAAATTTCTATTTTGAAGATAAAGTAGAAATCACACTAAATAGGACTAAAATATAGAGAAAAGTACCAAAATAGGACTTTCATGTTTTTTCCCGAAATGAAAATTCACACTGTACTAATGTGATATTGTACATATGCACATTATTATACTTTTTGGTAATGTACATGACCATGTTTGGTGATGTAAATAAATTTTAAGTCTTATTTCAGGGAAAAAACATGAAAGTCTTATTTTGGTATATTTTCAATGTTTTGGTCTTTCTCGTAAGATAAGAACATGAAGCTCTTATTTTGGTACTTTTATTATGTTTACTATAATGTAGGATTATTTCTTTAGAAGGAACTGGAAGATGTTCGAAAAAGTTGAATGTTAATTTTTCCAACCCAAAAAAACAAGGTCGGAGTACTTTTAACCCAACAAATTTACTCTCTTCGTCCCAATTTAAATAGTCTGTTTCGGTTTACAATGTTTAGCTCAAGTTATTTTCAATAGAATTTATTTGAGAATTAGAGCACAACTTAAAAATAAAATTTATATATTAAAAAACTAAATAAAAAAACGTTCACAGGAATTGACATCACTATATTATTTTACCAAATGAGTAACGAAAATAGGGATATAAAGTTAATTAAGTTTGACTCTGTAAATAGTAAACATGCAATTTAATTTTGAACGGAGCGAGTATGTGTTTTATGAATATTTCTAAATTTTAATCCTACATATAATACTCATCTATGGAGTATCGTTTTTTAAATAAAATTTTAGTTATAATAATAATGTATATGTATTAAAATTTATACAAGTATGTATTTGTGAAAAGTAATAAAAAGGAAGAATTGTGAATAGTTTTAAAAATTTATATACATCTTTGTTTTAAATTGATTAATAAAGTTTATGAAATCTTTTTCTAAATAAAAAAATAATTATGTAGATAACAAAAATATGTTTTAAAATTATAATTAAAATGCACATTGGTATAATATTTAAAAAAATATACAAAATTAATATTCATTGAATGTAATTTTAATGATAATTGTTTTAATTATTTAAAGCTAAAATAAAAGATTTTAAATGAATCAATTAAATAATGACACGTAATACAAGACGCACATGTGAAATGTCTTATGTCACATTCCAATTAAACAAACTATACGTTTTCTAAAATAAAAGATAAATATATTACAACAAAAAAGAGAATAAAACAAGTGGGGAGGATTAGTTTGAAGCCCCATCAAACTTTAGTAAGTGAGAAAATTAGGAGCTTTAGGGCAAAATTGAACTTGCACCTAAAGGTAAAAGGAGCTTTAGAGCCGCTAGAAATGTCATTACCAAAGCAGTGCCACTATGACATATCTTTAGAGCACTCGTAAACTCGTAATATGTATGAAGCTCTAGGGCTTCAAACCTTTTGTCTCTACTACATCTCCTTTAACTTATATCAAAATTTCATTGGAAATAGGTTTGAAGCCTAGGGTTTCAAATCTCTATTTTTTACATTTTTAAATACACTTCTTCTAAAATTAAATTAGTAACATTTTATTACTTAATTGAATTTAAAGGACAATAATTCATTAAATAAAAAATACATCAATAAAAAGTACATTAATAAAATAAGATCAGAATAATAATAACAACAACAACAAAATTACATTACATTATGAAGAAATTACTGATTATTTGAACGACTAAAAATATCTTCAATCAAATCCGCCGTTAGTGCATTGTGAATCTCTCGGCTTTGGATTTCTTGATGGTTTCTTCATTTCTTTTCTTCATCGATTTCTTCGTACGTAGGCACCTCCTAGTGTGGATTGTAATGACATATTGCAAAGTCATTGTCTTCTACGATCACATTATGAAGAATAATATATGCGTACATGATATTCCTCATTTTCATCTAAGAATAACACTTTGACAGATGATTTAGAATGTGCCACTAACTCTTCAACACCCTGAAGGCTTGTTCGATATCTTTTCTCACCGCGTCATGAGCTTTTTTGTAGGTCTGGCGTCTAAGACCTATTGGTTCATAAAGGGACTTGGCAATCATGAAATAATATGAATATATTCCATCCGCAAGATAATATCCATGCTTGTAAAGCATTCTTCTATGCTCAAAAGACGAGCCGGGTGTAGTCTCATTAATCCAATTGTAAAAAATAGGCGATTGATCAAGAATATTGATGTCGTTGTTCGAGCCTGCAACACCAAAAAAAGTATGCCAAACCACAAGTAATTAGAAGCCGCAGCTTCGAGCGTGATAGTAGGCTCGGGATGATCTCCCTGGGAGAGCTGACCATGCCACACATTCAGAAAATTTTTACTTTCCCAATGCGTGAAATCGATACTCCCAAGCATGCCGACAAAGCTGTGTTTAGCGGCATGCCTAGCCTGTAACTATTCAATGTCCCTCGCTGTCGGCTTACGTAAATAACTTTTATGATAAAGTCGAATAATAGATTTAGAAAATTTATAAGCACATGACCTGATGCTCCAAGCTGACATCTTCAAGTATTCGTCGAGCATATCAGATGTTGTCCCATCCGCCATCTGACAAAGCGTGGTGGTGCACTCCTGGACGCTGCTAAAACCATGCTGGCCTCTCGCATCAAAGTGTTGGGTAAGCCAAGGTACCACGCGTTCAATATCGGCGAGTATGCGTAAAAAATGAGAACGACTCATCCGAAAACAATTACTAAAATCCTATGGTGTGTAAACGCACGAGGTATTGAAGTAGTCATTGAGTAATGAAGCATGTGCAGCCGCCCGATCACGTACGGTTTAAATGCTCACATCGAGTCGGGTGTCAGCGTCGGGAGGGTTCTGCTTCTTCTCGTTGGGCTTGTTTGTTAGAATAAAAGACCAATGCTAGAGGGGGGGTGAATAGCGTTTGATCGTAGAAATCGCAGGAATTAAAAACTTAAAAGAGAAGTAAAGAGAAGAGTAAGAGGCACACCGAATTTTACCCTGGTTCACCAAAACTTGTGGCTAATCCAGCCTCCCGAGAGACTCTCTCGAGCTACACTACTATCTCGTTAAGCTTGCGGGTGCTTAAGAAACCGTTACAACTTGAGAGTTCGAGTTACATGAATCTCAACGAGTCCTTCAAAGGAAACAGCCCTTCCTTTGAATCTACCGAGAGAAATACTTTCTCTCAAAGTGTCTAAGAACACGAATACACTCAAGAACGAGGCTCTCTTATAGAGTAGATTATGAGTAAACTAAGTACGCTCAAGAACAACTCAACCTCCACATAAAATGGCTCTAGAAAGCTATGGAAAATGATGATATTTGAATGCAATGAAAGTATGAATGTTGTGAAGTTGAATTGATGAGAAAAGCAGACCCAAACACCCCTTTTTATAGTGCCAAAATAGGCTCCAACGGACCAATGCATTAAAGGGGTGATTAGCTTGATTTATGGGATTGAAAAGATTTAGGATCTGCAGAATATTGGCTTCCCAGCGATGTATGGACCTTACCCATCGCTGGTAGGCCAATTTTCCTTCAGTTTTGAAGCCAACGGTCACCTACCCATCGATGGGTACATGCTTCCCATCGCTGGGTGGGAGGTTGACTTCCAAACATGGAAAGAATCAACCTTAAATGACATACAACGGTCATGCCTTCCATCGATGGTTAAGCCTTCCCATCGCTGGGTTCCCATCGATGGGTAAAGCTTCCCATCGCTGGGTAAGGGCATTCTGCCTTGTGATAATGTTGGACTAAGGCTTTAACAGCGATGGGTAGAACCTCCCATCGTTGTTTGGCATGGTTCTGGAAGTTGGTTTGGCTAAGGGGCCGCTTACCCATCGATGGGATGTTCTTCCCATCGCTGGGTGGGTGGTTAGCCAAAAACCTATGGTTTTTGCCTTAACCACAGCCTAGCCAACTGATGCAAAAACCGACCGAAAAATCCAAAGTTCTCCAAAATAAAAACCAAGTGTTTAAAACACTTATTTGATGTATTTGGCTAAGAAATCAAGTGAGACACTTTAAAAATCACGTCATTTGAGTAAAAACCACGTCTAGCCAAGTTTACGCCGTTTTGCGTGGTTTTTGTCAAACGACTAAAAGCGAGAGATGGTTTTCAAAGTGTTTTTGTTGGAGAACCGTTTAAACATGCCAAAGAGTGAAAGAAGATCATAAAATGCTGAAAACCACTTGGTTGGTTCAGATGCCAAAAACCAAACCCGACAACCAAAAGCCGAACGCTGGTTTCTGAAAGCCGAACACTGGATGGCTTGGTTTTTGGTTTGAGCGACCACCAAGTGTTTTTAATGACTTAAACAAGTTTGAACAACATTTTTATGATGTAAGAAATGCAATGAGAGATTTTAGCCTAAAGAGCCAAGGTGTAAAGATTGGGTCGGTCTTGATCATAATAAAGACCGACTCAATACTATGACTAAGGTCTTCGTTCTTGGTCTTTGTTTAGCTCTTGCTCTTATCTTCGTTCTTCACCTTGTATATTCAATGTTTGCCTTGATCACGGCGGTTTGGCATTATCAAAACCTGTTACAAAAACGAACACGACTTTAGTACGAAAACGTGACAAGCCCGTGTTTCAACAATTTCCCCGTTTTTGATAATGGCAAACGAGACGAGGTTATGCATAGGAGGATTATTTTGGAAAAAGAATGTTCCCCTTTAATAGATGCCATTTTTCAAAGTAAAAAAAAAATTCCCCCTCAATTTATGCATAACCTTAATATCTTCCCCCTTTTGACATTAACAAAAAGAATTAAAAGTGAACTTTAGAGTTTAAAAGTAAACTTTTATTCATTAAAAAGGGAAATGCGGAATACAACGGAATGGGAATAAAAAATACAATCATAGTAAGGAGAGAAGAGAATAGTCTAAGCATCGGCGTCCTCGTCATCATCCTCGTTGTCCTCGACGTCCATGGGATCGCCGTCGACCGCATCTTCAAAGTCGGCTTCGTCGGGGGAGGAGGACGGAGCATAGGAGTTATCCTCCTCGTCCTCGCCTTCATAGTTTTGGCCGAGGAAGGTGCTATCAAAGGGCGGCGGGACGTAGTTGATGCCGCGGAAGAACGCCGTCATGTCGTGGTGTTGGCGTTGCACAGTCCATCCGCTCAATTGACTGCCCCATGCCATCCACTGTGAGGGTTAGCCGATTCAGAGTATCGGCTATGGATTGCAAAGAGGCCTTGGCGGGAGCGGGGGCTGGTGCACGACTTGGGCCTGCGCCGTCCCTGTCTCCGGACTTCTTCCGGAAGGTTCTGTCTTGAATGATCCAAATCTTCGTCATCTTCGTATCCGGGCCGGTGATGGAGATGTCGGCGGAGATGATGAGGTCCATGACGTGGAAGGCGTATGGCAAGCTCTGCTCCGTGGCGATGGAGGCGCAATCCGCCATGTGGATCATCACGAATTTCGCCCAATTGATGGAGGCGTCGTGGATGATGGCGTGAATCGCCTTCAAGTCCTCGTTGAAGAGTGAGGTATGGCTGCTGTCCCGGGGGCGGAGAATCCGGGTGATGATGTAGAGGAGGAGGCGCTTGTCCGGTGGGGCCGAGTGGATCGTCGGCGCGCCGCTGTGGCGGATCAAGTTGGTGCTCCCAAGCTCACGAATGACGACTGCCTCGTTGTTGAGGATCCAATCGTCGCCACCATAAGTCGCGATGTCGTCACCGCGGATGGGCAGCCCTGCGACCCGAGCAAAGGTAGGTAAATCAATCTCTATGTCGTAGAGATTGATGCTGCTGCGAATGGTGTCCCCGTCACGGCGGAGATTGGAGTAGAAGGCCCGGACGAAGGCGGGATTGAAGCTCGAGCGGCTCCTGGAGACGAACGACCACAGGCCCGACGCTTGAAGCTGATTGTCGAGGTCGTGGTACCCCTTTTGTTGAGGGTACAACTCGGGTAGCACCCTAGGCGGAGAAATGGGACGCTTGGCAAAGTGCGTGAGGAACCGGTTGAGTTCCTCCTCCGACCCGAACTCAAGAAACGAGCCGTCCAGGTAGGGGAACGGCGGGGGCGCTGAGGTCGTAGCTTCGGCATTGCCCCTCTTCTTGGAAACCTTTGTCCTCTTTCCTCCGGCCATGATTGAAGCAAAAAGATGAAGAATTATGTAAAAGAGGAGATTTTGATGTGAAAAATGTGTGTTAAAATGAGTAGAGATGAAGGATATATATAGGAAAGGGTGAGAAATTCGTTTGTATTTGAAAAAAGTGACTGTTGGGCAATAAATTCGGTGACCAACGGTTAAAAAATTTGAACTTGCAGCAGGCTTCCCAACCATGGGTGGAACTTCCCATCAATGGGAAGGTCGACACTGGAAAGCGAAGGAGAAAACAAAGGCTGCCTTCCCAGCGGTGGTAAAACTCACCCATCGATGGGAAGGTGGCTACTGGGAATCCGATAAAACGCTTTAAAAAAGTGTCAAACACCCAGCGATGGGAGAAAGTTCCCATCGATGGGTATGGAGGTTCTGGAAAAAATGTTTGAAACTAAAAACATTCACCCAGCGATGGGATGAAATACCCATCGATGGGTAAGGTGTTTCTGGAAATCCGTTAAAAATTTTAAAAAAAATAGAGTCAATTACACATCGATGGGAGAAAGTACCCATCGATGGTAAGAGAGGTTCTGGAAAAAGAAAATTGAAAAAAAAGTCCTTCACCCAGCGATGGGATGAAATACCCATCGATGGGTAAGGTGTTTCTGGAAATCCGTTAAAGGTTTTTAAAAAAAAGAGTCAATTACCCATCGATGGGAAGAAGCACCCATCGATGGGAAGAGGGGTCCTGGAAAGATGAGGACTTCCCTCCCAGCGATGGTATAACACACCCATCGCTGGCCCCCCCTGATTTCAAGAAATCTTCACTTCGAACCGTCCCTGCAAAAAAGAGTTAGAAAACCCTCCGACACTCAAGTTAGTAAACGTTCAAGCACAGAAAAAGGAGTGATAAAATGCACAAATTAGATCATCGTGGAGTCAAGGATTCCGAGTTCACTACGAATGCGGAAGAACGACTCTTTCTCTAAAGGTTTTGTGAAAATGTCGGCTAATTGGTTGTGTGTTTCAACAAACTCAATTTCGACATCACCTTTGAGAACATGATCTCTAATGAAATGGTGCCTAATGTCAATGTGTTTCGTCCTTGAATGAAGAACGGGGTTCTTCGTCAAGCTTATGGCGCTAGTATTATCACAACGGAGTGGAACGTGACTGATACTAAGGCCATAATCCACGAGTTGTTGCTTCATCCAAAGGATTTGAGCACAACAACTACCGGCGGCAACGTATTCTGCTTCGGTTGTGGATAACGCAACACTGACTTGTTTCTTACTAAACTATGAAACTAAAGAGCTACCAAGTAAGTGGCAAGTCCCACTTGTACTTTAACAGTCCAATTTGCAACCGGCAAAGTACGAGTCGGAATAACCAGCGAGATGACACGAAGAGCCTTTTGGATACCACAATCCAACGTTAACCGTGCCAACAAGGTATTTCATGATCCGTTTCACCACTGTTAAGTGCGATTCCTTCGGACATGATTGATACCTTGCGCAAAGGCATACGCTAAACATGATATCCGGCCAACTAGCGGTAAGATAGAGAAGGGATCCGATCATACCTCGATACTTTTTGACTTCTACTTCCTTACCTTTCTCGTCTTTGTCTAGATGGTCGGACGTGCTCATCGGGGTCGCCATGGCTTTGGTGTTGTCCATTTCAAACTGTTTTAGGAGCTCCTTGCAATATTTAGTTTGACAAATGAACGTGCCATCATTCATTTTCTTGACTTGGAGTCCCAAAAAGAATGTGAGCTCACCCATCATCGACATTTCGAACTCGCTTGTCATTAACATTGAGAATTCCTTGCACAAAGACTCGTTAGTAGCACCGAATATAATATCGTCTACATAAACTTGAACCAAAAGGATATTATTGTTTTTACTCTTGATAAAAAGTGTAGTGTCTACCTTTCCCCTTTGGAAACCACTATCCAAAAGAAATTTGCTCAAACGTTCATACTAAGCACGAGGTGCTTGTTTAAGACCGTAGAGCGCTTTCTTGAGTTTGAAGACATGGTCAGGAAACTCAAAGTCTTCAAACCCCGGGGGCTGGTCAACATACACTTCCTCTTGAATAAAACCATTGAGGAAGGCATTCTTAACATCCATTTGATAAAGTTTAAAATCCATAGACAAAGCAAAGGCAAGAAGTAAACGAATAGCTTCTAAACATGCTACAGGTGCATAAGTTTCTTCGAAATCAATGCCTTCTTCTTGATTGTAGCCTTTAGCTACGAGCCTAGCTTTGTTTCTAGTGATTATTCCATTTTCATCAAGTTTGTTACGGAACACCCATTTCGTACCAATAACCGTACGATCATCGGGTCTTGGCACCAATTCCCAAACGTCATTCCGTTCGAATTGGTTTAGCTCCTCTTGCATAGCCAAGGTCCAATGTTCATCGTTTATTGCTTCGGAAATGGTTGTAGGTTCAATTTGAGAAACAAAAGACATGTGTCCTACGGTGTCCCTAAGTGAGTTACGAGTACTTACCCCGCGGTTGATGCTACCGATTACCTGGTCAAGCGGATGGTTCTTGTTTGTTCTCCATGCTATGGGAAGCTCGGTTGCTTCTTCTTCGTGTTCCTCTTGTTCTTCTTCTTTCTCCTGATTTTCTTCTTCACCTTGGTTAGTCGCTTGAGGTATCTCCCCAATTTGCGGTTGTGTGTTGATGTATATTCTCGTGTTGTCTTCATCGTCATCAACGTGTATTCTCTCTAATGAATCTGCAAGATCATCACAAATATCCTTTCTCTCCAAGCGAGGATTATCTTCGGAAAATACAATGTGAGGAGACTCCTCAATAGTCAAGGTACGTTTATTGAAGACTCTATAGGCCTTGCTACGTAGTGAGTAACCCAGAAAAATTCCTTCATCCGACTTTGCATCAAATTTGCCTAAGTTGTCTTTGCCATTGTTATGAATAAAACATTTGCAACCAAAGACTCGAAGATGGGAAAGGTTTGGCTTTCTCCCTTTGTATAGTTCATAGGGCGTTTTCATGAGTATCGGTCGAATGATGGCTCGGTTTAACACGTAGCTCGCGATACTCACGGCATCCGCCCAAAAATACTTAGGGATTTTTGCCTCATTGATCATAGTTCTAGCCATCTCTTCGAGACATCTATTTTTACGTTCCACCACTCCATTTTGTTGTGGTGTACGTGGGGCTGAGAAGTTATGATCAATGCCAAGTTCGTCACACAAATCTGAGAACAAATTTCGTTCGAACTCTCCCCCATGGTCGCTTCTTATGG